TGAAGAGAAGGTTTCGGACTTCACTGTGAATGTTCTGTTAGTGAGATAGGAAGAGTGCCAGTCTAGAGCAGAACCTGAAATCCCAGCCAGGGCCTTTAACCTGTTTAGTAGAACGTTGTGGTCTACAGTGTCAAAGCTGCACTGAGGTCAAGCAGGACCATGACAGAGCATTTCCCTGCATCAGCAGCCATCAGGAGGTCATTATGCACCCTTTCTAGAACAGTCTCAGTTGAGTGCTGCTTCAGAAAGCCAGATTGGAAGGGGTCAGAGATCTTTGACCTAGAAAACCAGGATCTGAGTTGGGTTTCAACAACCGTCTCAAGTACTTTGCTGATGAAAGGTAGCTTAGAAATGGGCCTAAAGTTACTGGTGGAGCTGGCGTCAAGGTTGGGTTTCTTTAAGAGAGGAGTCACTACTGCATTTTTAAAGTAAGATGGAACACAGCCATGGCTCAGTGAGCTGTTGATTATAGTCAGCAGCAAGGGCGTCAGTTTGTTTTCAGAATTGCTGGGGACAATAACCATACACTTGAGTGGGGTTTAAAAATTGCTGGGGACAATAAAGTAGGCTAGCACAGGGGTCGGCAATCCGCGGCTCTGGAGCCGCATGCGGCTCTTCCATCCATCTGATGCGGCTCTTCCATCCATCTGTGCTTGTAAAATAATGAATGGATATTTAAATAAAAAGCTTTATATTTTACTGCATTAATTTTACATCTGTATGCCAATTCTAAATGTAAAGATTGTCTGCGTAAACCTGAACAGGTCCAACCCGGGCTTACTGTGAGACCGGGTTGACGCGTCACGCTTGTGCGTAATCATATGGGCACTTTATGAGCTGAAGGATGTGAGATTCTGGGCTTCTCCTCAGACAGGTTCCTGGATGCGTCGCCACATTGGAGACAGGAACAAGCACTATTCAGCCAAAGTTTCATAATCAGGTGTGGCAGTGTGAGTGTCCTGTCACAGTGTCCCGATAGATAATGCGCCCTGGCTACTTGGCCAAGGGGTTGTCCCTTTGGCTGACTGGTTAGAGCGTATGACTCTCACCCGGGAGTCTGGGGATCAAAACGCACCCGGGCCCTCGTTTCATTTGACTGTTTATTTTGACAGATGAACTGAAGGATGTTGCTTGGTTTGAAAGAATTACCCCGACGCACACGGATGTGCATGGATGAGCTGACATTTTAATCGTTAACGCACATCGAGGAGGTAAAATATTCCCATCAGAACATCAGAGCTTTATACTGGACACTGTGTTCAGCGTGGCTCAGAGCGCCCACGGTGGACAGTGAGCTGAAGATCTGGGGTTCGCAGCGCAGCGCAGAACCGGCGCATGCGATAAGATTTCCTCCCACTGAAACAGTCTGGAAACCCGGTCTCTCTGAGGGATGTCACTTGGAAAAATGTTCTTTTTATGAAATTATGAAACTTTGGCTGAACAGCGCTTGTTCCCGTCTCTAATATGGAGACGCATGACGCGTAGAGACATTTGATTACGCACAAAGTTTATGTGGAGCAGAAGCGGCCGGGCCACGGCAGGTGAAACGTTCCTAGCCTATATGAAGTGAAATTGTGTAATTGTAACATTAATATGTTACTGGACACGCTGGTCTGGTTGGTTAGACCAGTGTTTGAAGTGGAAAACACACACACACACACACACACTCGCACACACACACACGCACACGCACACGCACGCACGCACACACACACACACACACACACACACACACACACACACACACACACACACACACACACACACACACACACACACACACACACACACACACTAAAATAATGCTGATAGCGTGGACTAGAAGCCAGGTGATGGTTTACGTATTTAAATGATGATCAGGCTGCTGTAAAATGTAATCTCCATCCACATCCACAATTATCCTCTATTCTCTAGTTGCTCTGCTCTTGTCTGGGCTGATCAGCTGATGGTGCGCGCGGCGCGCCTAACTAGCGGCTGATGCACATTTTACGCATTTGGAGAGGTGGGCTGGATGCTTTGCGTTTACTGGAAGACGGTCCACTTAACGCACGGGTGTCGACTACATATTAATGACAAATGAATGAAAATTAAATTGTGAGTTTTAACTTCATATTTTATAAGTAAAAAGGACGGGGGAACACATTTATGATGTCTTTTTAAACTAAATTTTCTAGCGCGACCTGCCTGCTTCACTTAAGTCACTGCTTATTAAGGTCCGTCCAAAATTACCGTGGGAAATGGGTAATAATGGCTCTTTGATGGGAACAGGTTGCCGACCCCTGGTATAAGATCTGAGCTGGTAAAACAAAACTCCTCATCAGCAGGTGTTTTTGAAAGTGGGGGGGACACAGCTGCCAATCACAAATTTTGCCGGGGACATGTCCCCGGCGTCCCCGGTTAAAATGACGCCTATGGTCAGCAGAGATGGACTGATGGAGGCAAGGGACCCGACTAAGACAGAGGGAGGTAAGATGTCTGATGAGCATGATGAGAGCTTCATCTGACTGATTATTGAGGTTAAGTCATTTAGTGTAATTGGGGAGAAGGAGGTGAAAGACTCGGAGCACTGAGGGGCCTCCCCTCCTGAGGGGGGGAGGGCTGGTGGAATGCTAGATCTCAGATTCAACACCTTGTTTTCAAAAAAGTGGAGAAATCTGTTACAGTCATCAGCTGAAGATAGCTGAGCCTGCTGCGGAGGAGAAGACACGATGCTGGAGATGGTATCAAACAACACCTTAGGATTATTCTTATTTTGACATATGAGGTTGCTGAAGAAAGAAGACCTCACATTTTCTACAGCTTTGTTGTATGGCTCTAGAAGTTCTTTAAAATATTCGCGATGAACAACCAGACCTGTCCTCTTCCACCGTCGTTCCGCTTTTCTATAGGAGCGTCTAAGATCAAGAATCTGGTTGTTCAGCCAGGGTGAACTGGAGGCACTGGAACTGCGGCTGGTTTTGTAAGGAGCGACGTGATCTAGAATTTTGAGGCAGTGATCATTAAATGAGTTGGTAAGGAGCTCTACATCATCGGAGGAAGGAGGTACAAAGTCAAAGAGGGAGGAGAAATTTAAAATGGTAGAACTGTTGATAATACGTCGTTGCTTAGCAGAGACTGGTAAAAGAGATTCAGAATTTAGGTTGATATGAAAAGAAACTGACTTATGGTCACTGAACACAACATCATTTATCTGCAGCTTATCAACAAGAAGTCCGTAGGAAAAGACTAGATCCAGGGCGTGGCCTGCTCTGTGAGTGGGACCAGACACGTGTTGAGAGAAGTTAAAAGAGTTCATCATGTTTAGAAACTCCCTGGTAGAGCTGTTAGATAGATCCTCAGCGTGGATGTTGAAATCTCCAACAATGATTATCCTATCTAGTTTAATAGTTGAAGATAGGAGGTCCTGAAAGTCAGACAGGAAGGATGAAGTAGATCCAGGTGGGCGATAGACCAGAATTCCATAAACTGGTAGAGCTCGACCAATTTTAATCATGATCATCTCGAATGAGCTGTAGGAGTTTGAGGATATAATTTGGCACGAAAAGTGTTTTTTTAAAGATAACAGCTGTTCCTCCACTGCGGCCTGTGGTCCGTGGAGCAGAGAAGAAAGAGCAGTCTTGAGGACAGAGCTCACGGAGAGGAGTGACGTCATTTTCGCGCTGCCACGACTCAAAAATCCACAAAAAGTTAAATTTTTCAGTGCAGAACAGATCGTTGAGGATGTGAGACTTGTTGGCGATGGAGTGCGCGTTAATTAACGTCATTTTCGCAGAGAAATCTGGCGATGTGTGTACCGCGGGCTCCATAATGGCGGTCGGCTAGCGGGCTAAGCTACGTAGCGACTCCAGGCTACGCCCGCGGGGGTTCTTTACCTTTAGGCAGCGTCCTGCATCAGGGGCACCATTTAGCAGCGAGATCAGCCCAACTCCATTGAGTTTCTGTTGGATCCGCCACAACATAGCCGCGGAGCAGCGATCGGGAAGAGCTTCGCCTCTCAGGATCTTTTGGAGCTGAACGAAGAAGCCAGCTCTCTTCCCCCGTTTTTTCTTCTTCAATACTGTATATGGCTACAAAATGCACGAAAGAGCCTCAGAGAACAATAAAACTAAAATCAGCTACAAAAGGAAAACTGATCAACGTGAGAAAACACTAAAATGTCTGAAACACCCAAATAACGCAGAAGATGCATTTAAAAAGTGATGTGTGTGTGTATATATAGTAGGCCAAAAGTTGACCACACATTACCATTTACATTGGTAGATTCTCACTGAAGGCATCAAAACTGTGAATGAACACATGCAGAGTTATGTACTTAACCAAGAGAGGTGAAATAACTGAAAACATGTTTTATATTCTATTTTCTTCAGAAAAGCCACCCTTTGCTCCGATTACTGCTTTGCACACTCTTGGCATTCTCTTGAGCTTCCAGAGGTAGTAGTCCTTCAAGCTGCAGTCTACAGCTTGAGGGGGTTAAACATGAGGTCAGCAGCCTCATCGTCCACTCTTGGAAACACAACACACATTGTTCTGCTGCAGCTCCCCACTTTAAATCTGGTGTACGACTCGGGTTTCTGATCAGATGTGTGATTATTCTATGTAAATATCCCATTTATGATGCTTTTGAAAGCCAGGTTTCTATTTTGGTCTGTCCCATAACGACTACAAAGAGTTATAAATATGTTCTCCATGTCACCCGTTGTCCAGTCAGCACCCGGACACCCTGCTGCAGAGAAGAAGCAAAAAAGTCTTACGGGTGTGCGAAAAAATGCTATAAACAAGGAATGCTTTCAGAAATATTTGTAATTATTATTTATTTTAAGTGTCACAGCAGTATTTCTATGCCTAATTTTCTAACAGTACCTAAAAGGATGTGTTCTCAGATTATAAGACGCACAAGAGTCACCTTTTTAAAGTTTAGAAAAACCCTTTCATAGCTGTTCTTTCTTCCATCCGTCCCACATGCTGCATCACCTTTGTGAGCTTTGGTTACCGTTTTCCAGGAATTATAGAGCGAGCAGAGAGCTCAATGGAAGAGGAGATGGGAGAGCTGCGCCGCTCCAGGCCCTTTGCTGCGAAAGAATTTGTGCTGAGCGATGTCATGTACTTCTACAAGAAGGGTGTGGAAAGTATTGTGGATGATCAGGTGACACAACGCTTCTCCTCTGAGGAGCTGGTCTCCTGGAACCTGCTGACCCGCACTAATCAGAACTTCCACTACATCAGCCTCCGCCTCACCATCATCTGGGGCCTCGGAGTATTTGTGCGATACTGCATCCTCTTACCTCTCAGGTCAGTCTGAAACAAGCCAGTGTCTTGCCATCTCTGGCAGAGGTCAAGTAAAAAAACGTTATATACTGTGGTCAGAAATGTACACAACCTCATTGTGGGTGTTAGCATTGTTGATTTAAGCAGTTAAGGATTGCTGTGAACGGTTCTTTTTTTAGGCTAAAATAAACTTTGTACATACAACTTTAAAGGTTTCTAAGAAAAGGAACGGGGTGCACATGTTTATCTCTTCTACTCTTCTGTTGGAACACCCAACAAGGTCCAAATTATTCCTATGGACAAATGGCAGCAGCCAGATCTCTATGTGTAGTCCCAAAGGGAGCAGTATGACATGATTGATTTTTGCCATAGTGCTTGAAATCAATGCACATAGTGGTAATCAATACATTAAATGCTTTTGTCAGAAAATGACTTTTTTTAGTCATTTCTGAAGCATAAAATCCTGGAAAAACCTCATATCATATGCTAGACCTCCAGCTATATGGGCTGCATGGTGGCACAGTGGTTAGCACTGTTTCCTCGCAGCATGAAGTTTGCAGGTTCGAAACTCGGCTGCGGCCTTTCTGCGTGGAGTTGCGTGTTCTCCCCATGCATGCGTGGGTTTCCTCCGGGTACTCCGGTTTCCCCCACAGATCACAACATGCCCTACAGGTTATAAATTGTAAGTCGCTTTGGATAAAAGCATCTGCCAAATAAATAAACATAAACATATAACTCAAATTGCTGCTCTAAGTTCAGATTTCTGGAAGGTTTTAGGCTGTTGCTAAGAACTGCATTTGTTGGCTTTTTTTTCCTACACTCTGTCTCTCAAAGTAGCCTTGAATGTTCTTGTGTGCAGCCGGTCTTTTTTCAGCCCTCTTCCCAAGGCTTCGGGCTGAACTGGTCCAACACATCCACTGCAGACTGATTGGCTGGCTCAAATTCACACAGCAGTCTGGATGCAATATCAGAGTCAGAGAGTCTCCAAAAGCAACACTGCTCATTAGACACCGCAGACTTCTCCGCTCTCCTTTTGTCCCACCCATGTGCTCGGAGATGCACTCATGACATCAATGGTGTCTTTGCGGCAATTTTGGAGACCGCCCATATGTTCAGTCACATCCACACTCTTAAAGATGTGTTTAATCAACGCCCAGCCAGGCTGGGCCGGGCTGGGCGTAATGGAGCCGATGCTAGTGTGGAAGCCCTAACTGTAATGACCAGACTGGAGATACCCGTGAAGACAACCGAGACACAGTAAGGGGCTTTAAAGTTTTTGTTATGGAACACAGACGAATGTTACCAGTCTGAAGGAAGGGCTGTAGCAGAGGCTTGGTCGGGAGGAGAGCGGGGGTCAGAGCCAGGGAGATCAGAGTAGTTCCAAAAAGGGGCAGGCAAGAGGCAGAGTCCAGGATCCAGATCCAAGGTCAGAAATCCAGGTAATCAGATGCACGAGATAATCCAGGCAGGGTGTAGGCAAAGGGGTAATCCAAAGGCCCAGAAGAGGGTCGAGATGCGACAGCGGAGGGTCAAGAGTGCTGGAGAATCTACTAGCAAATGCTTTCAATAATCTGGCACTGGCTTGGTGTTGGTCCTGGTGTTATATAGGGAGCATTGCAGGTGGAGCTGATGAAGAGTTAATGTGAGGCAGGCGGTTTGGATGAGGTTGAGGGTGAGTTGGTTGTGGTTGCTGGGGCTTGGCTGGAGCAGGGGCATGACACCAAGGCCTAGTCCATACGTAGCCGGTTTTTTTTTAAATGGATATCCGCCCCTCCAAAAACTTGCATCCACACCACCTCGTTTAAAAAAAACTCTGTCCACACGTACCCGGATAAATACGTTGTTAAGGACATGCCAGGCCTGTAGGTGGCAGTACTTCCCCCGTTCCTAACCTCGTCCTTCATCTGTGGTCTTTTGCAAGGAGCAGTAATTCCGCTTGCAAAAACAAACAAGCAAAAAGCGCTTGGACAATTGATAAAGCGAGCGCAGCTCTGAGGGCATCCATGCTGTCGGCTAGTGTAAACACAGGTCGCACACGTGATGTCAGCATTTTTTTGTCGCGGAAAGTGACGTTGCGGACCTTAAAACTCCGGTTTTGTCTGTCCACACGCAGACACCCAAAATGGAGAAAACGCAGATCTTCACTTTGGCCGGAGTTTTTAAAAAGATCCATTTTCGTGTGGATGACAGGCCAAAACGTAGAAAAATATCTACGTTTTGGCAGATCCCCGGCTGCGTGTGGACAGGGCCTAACAGTTTGCACAAACTGTGGCTGTCAACTGGTTTTTTGCCCTACTGTATATACATAACATTCCTTAGGAAAAAAGAAAACACATATAAATACAAAGTAACTAGCAAAGCTTAATATAATTACAATTGTCATCAGTCTTAGCATCAGGTCAAAGAAACACATTTCTAACTTTTGATTAAGGGCAAATGTGCTGGAGCTCTCCTCAACGACCCACAGGATTTTATCTAGAGGTGTCTGTGTGAAGTCCTGTTTAACCTTCGAGCACTAACTGACAGGAGACTTTCTATGTTCATGCAGGATCACTCTGGCCATTATTGGCCTCTCGTGGCTTGTGATAGGAACAACTCTGGTTGGATTCCTGCCTGAGAGCAGGTAGAGTAGCTCAAACACAAGAGTCAACAAAGTTTTGCTTTACTTTTCTCAAGTGTGTGTGTGTGTGTGTGTGTGTGTGTGTGTGTGTGTGTGTGTGTGTGTGTGTGTGTGTTAGTGCCAAGAACTGGCTGAGTGAGCTGGTCCACCTAACCTGCTACAGGATCTGTGCCAGAGGACTTTCTGCTACCATTCACTACCACAACAAGTCAGCTATTTTACTTTTTTTATTTGTTTAAAGGTGCTTCCTAATAGTCACATTAAAATAATCTGGAATTGTGTGATTCTTAGAAATATAAAGCCACAAAAATAAAATGCATAAAAACTAAACCTTTATTTGTATGAGGAATAGATGATCCAAAACAAGATAATCCTATTAAACTGAGTCAAAGGCAGCTACAAATCTTTATTGACTCCTGAAGATTTTTCACTTCTCATCCGAAGACTTTGTTTTAAAAAGAAACAACGTGTAAGATTGTTTTATAAAATGAAGTAATCACAAAACAGTCTAATGTCTCAATCATGTTGGAAGTAAGGTTACATTGAAACAGATTTCCTTCTCAGCCGGCTGGTTGGCTGTTTTTCTTCTTACAAAATGGTCAGAGGGACATAGTCATTCTGTACAATCTATGAGCCTACAGGGTTGTCGAGTCTGCACCGATCTAACGCTGCAGCGCAGAGTTGTCACAAGAACCAAAGCAAGTAAAAGACGACAAATAACTGCCCTCCCTCTAAGTGTAATAAGTGCTCCCTACCGTAAAACACCCAAGAGTGTTAACACCAGATATGAAAGCGCATTTATCTACTTATTAACCTACTCTGTATGACTTGTCTTTACTTATCATCTAGAGTCTTCTGGTGCTGATCCGTAACTGGCAACATGAAACTCATGAAACAGGATTGAGAAAGTCACGTTTTGTTTATTAAAACTGACTGCATTACCTACATTTAAACACAGGATGTGATTCTTACTTCCTGTTTACATATTGCGCCTTTAAATTAACTCAAACTAAAATTAATTCTTAGAATTATTTTCAGTTGAAAAGTCTTCTTGTGAGAAGCATAAGGCTTCAGAAATCTAAGAAAAAGTCCACTTGCCTCTAGTTCTTTCAGTTAGTTGAACCTATTTTGGGGAATAAAACTCAAATAGTTAACCAGTTTAGCTGAGAACCAAATTAAAATGTGATCTTTCGACTCTTTCTTTCTAGTAGCTTGTCACAAAGAACAGGAATTTACTTTTCTTATGTTGTCTTTTTAAAAAAGTTCTCAAACAACAGCTTGAAATGGTTTTCAGTACCAACAAGCTGATTTCTGGACCTGTTAGCTGAAACGTAGTACATGAAATGCTCTTTGGAAGCAAAATGCAAAGAAATGTGGGATGCTTTAACTTTTTCTTCAGACAGTTTGACATTCTACATCTTAAGTGTTTGCAGATATCAGATTTTTAGTAAATATTAATTCCTGTATTAGTTATTAAGTAACTGGTCAGGAACTGACATTTGCCTCTCGCCACACATCTTTTCATCTTTTAGGGAAAACAGACCTCAGAAAGGAGGAATATGTGTTGCAAATCACACCACACCGATAGATGTGGTGATTCTAGCCAACGACGGCTGCTATGCGATGGTGAGCATCTTTACCAGCGTTGATAAATGTGTTTGAGACACCAAATGTTCTGATATAACATCAACTTCAGGTTGGGCAGATTCATGAAGGACTGTTGGGGGTCATTCAGAGGTCCATAGTGAGGTCTTGTCCCCATGTTTGGTTTGAGAGGTCAGAGATGAAAGACCGACATGCTGTGACCAGCAGGTGAGGCTTAAATTCAACAAAACAACACAGAACATAATCCTGAAACTACAACTGACTGACTTACTCTAGGGTGATTTTCATTAAATCTGGTTTTATGTGGTCACAAAAGTTCAATGTGACAAATAACACTTGATGTAATGTCAGATTTTTGGACTGTGGAAGGAAGCCAGAGCTCCTGGAGAGATGTATGCACAGGGAGAACATGCAAACTCCATGCAGAAAGACCCCAGGTTGGGACTGAACTGGGAACTCTCTTGCTGCAGGACAACTGTGCCTTCAATTGTGCCACTGTGCATCCCAAAATAAAAAATGGAAATAATGACAGTGGTGTTGGTTTAGCATCCAGAAAGCAGCAGAGAAGATCTGGACTAGCAGAAGCTAACCGTTAGCATTAGAAACTCCACTACCATATGTGTTTGTTTTTGAATTGGATATAAAAAACAGAAAGAAAAGGCAGCTTTATTTATATAGCACATTTCATACACAGGGGCAATTCAATGTGAAAAAGAAAGGTCTTGTTTGTCATATTTTCTCTGAGTCTCGGATAAAATAAAATATAAATACAAAATAGAAAAACAAGCTGCAAGACCAACTCTGACTAATATTTCATGGGCCGGTTTTATGTAGACGAGTGTCTTGCACATCCTCAACATAATGGGCATCTCCCAGGTTGGGTCGTGGACAGACTATATTTTCACTTACAGTGCTCAGCATACATGAGAACACTTCACAGGCGTTCGACCACAGGTGAGTCTAATGATTCATCTAAGAGGTGTCCAGCAGACAGGTGACTATAAAAGGGTGTAGGGGGTAAATATTGTTGCTTTGAAGCTTGATATATTACTTTTACTTATGACCAATAAGATTTGATATTCTATATCTGATATCTATAGCTATAAAAAGGCATTACTTAACGAAAAGCCCTTCCCATTTCATGCTGTCAGCAATGGCTCCATGTGGAAGAGAAATGTCACAAAATCTGAGAAAGGAAGTAATTTCTTTGCAGAAAAAGGTGAGGGCTACAAGAAGATCAGCAAAGGTTTACATATCAGTCAAAATACTGTAGCAAAAGTGATCCAATAATTTAAGAAAGATGGAAGTGCAACCATCTTACAGAGACGTTCAGGCCGTCCATGGAAGTTAACATCTGAACAGGAGCATCTTCTAATGAGAAGGGTTGAAGAAAATCACCCTGCAAGTTCACTGTAGTTAGCTAAAGTAGTAGAAAGACAAGCTGAAGTGACCGTTTGTCTTGACATCATACGGTGCACTCTTCAGAGGAATGGCATGCATGGGCATCGTCCACAAAGGAAGCCTCTCCTAAAACCCATGTTCAAAAAAGCTACCTAGGATTTACTAGGGTCCATGCTGACAGAGATGAAGACTACTGGGACTCTGGAGGGATGAGACAAAGATCACTGTTTTTGGAACTACTGGTTTAAAAACTGTATGGCGTTGTAAAGGTGAGGACTTCAAAGTGAAATTCATGGTGCCTACAGTGAAACATGGTGGTGGCGGAGTCCTTATGTGGGCTGCATGAATGCTGCTGGTGTTTGGGAGCTGCATTTCATTGAGGGCATCATGAACTCAACAATGTTCTGCTCTATACTGAAGGAGAAGAAGCTGCCATTACTCCGTACACTTGGTCGTCGTGCACTTTTCCAATAAGACAATGATCCAAACGCACATCTAAAGCTACTGATGCATTCCTAAAGAACAGGGTGAAGCTGATTGAATGACCAGTATGTCTCCTGATCTGAACCCAATCAAACACCTGTGGGGAATTCTGAAGCAGCAGGTTGTGCATCCCTCTCCATCAAGCATCCAGGCTCTAAAAGAAGTTATTCTTGAAGAATGGAAAAAGGAAGATGTTGCAATATGTCGCCAACTTGTTCATTCCAAGCCTAGAAGACTTGGTGCTGTCCTTGAAAATAAAGGTGGTCATACAACACACTAGATGTAGTTTTTGCTGCGGGTGTATTCATTTTTGCTTCGACCAATTTCAGTAAAACAGAAGATTTTGTGATCTAAGTTGTTATTAACCTTAATTTTATGTTATGGAGTTAAACTAGTTTTCAGTAAAACTCGGCTTTGTGAAAGTTCTGGGAAATGTCCATTCGTTCATTGAGCTTCTGATTAAATGTGTACTTTTTAAAGGGGGTGTACTCATTTATGCTGAGCACTAAAATGTTAAAATGTAAATTCAGCCTGTTTTTCCATTTTGCATTTTTGATTTGAGGCTAAAATTGAAAATATAAAAAGAGATTTTTTTTATTTTTTTGTATCCAATTCAAAAGCTGACCACAAATATTTACATCACATGTTCTCTTGCACACTGATGGTTTGTGAGCACAAGTCCAGAGAAACACTAGACTTTCTGCCTGAACTCATTTCAGACTATTGAAGTAAACAGAAGCAGTTGAAGGTCTGAGTAAAACTTACCTGAAAGGCCCTGATCACACTGATAGATCATGCTTACATGAAACAAACTCAAGACAAGCTGCTGTTTTATTTCTAATACAGTCATGATGACCCATGCTTCTCTCTCTGCAGGCTAAGAGATCACATCAAAGCAAAGACCAAACTTCCCATTCTCATATTTCCTGAAGGTTGATGTCTTTTTTCCTCATTAAATGAAGTTTATTGATTTTAATGGTTGAATAACTTGTGTTTGTTTCCAACAGGAACCTGCGTCAACAACACTTCAGTCATGATGTTCAAGAAGGGAAGCTTTGAAATCGGAGGGACAATTTATCCAGTAGCTATTAAGGTATCAGAGCAGCATTGATGTCTTTAGCGCTCACCGCCAGTGAAGCCAGTCTTTACGTCAACATAGACTAAGATCAAGAAAGAAGCTCCTGCTCTAAAAGAAGAAGCTCAATTTTCAATTTGATGATGTCCACATGGACCAGAGTAGTGTCTTCTGGAGAAAAGGTTCATGGTCAGACGAGACAAAAATCAGGATATTGATTCTTATGATAAGAAGTTTATGTGAGACTTTTAGACCTAATATTACTGTAACAACTGTGTTAGCGCCATGCGTGATGCTGTCACGGTGTGGAGGGAAGGTGAGGGAGGAAGAGCGGATCCTTCAGGCAGGTAAATCAAACCAGGCCAGACAGCAGCAATTTGGTTCCTCTTTAATGGTCAGGAGTGCAGACACGACAGGGTAGACAGATGTGAACATTAACTGACATGTAACGAGTCCGAACCGACAAAACCACAAGCAACACACAAGGCTTATATACACACTGGGATGGGTAATCAGGTAACAAGAGGCAGGCGGACACAAGGAAAAACTCAAGGCACAGGGGAGCAATAATGTGACAGTTGCTGGTGCAGAAAGCAGATGGAATAATGAGCAAAATCACTCCAAATTCACCTGAAATGATCAGCTATGGTTGAAACGTGGACCCAGTTGGGCGTTCCAACTGGACACTGGTCCTGACTTCCCAAAGCTCTGAGCTTAATCATGATGGAACCTTGTGGAACGGTCTGGTTTAAACTAAAAACCCAGGCGATTCAAATTAATGTTACCAATTTAGTCAGGCCTAATTTTCATTTTTAAAAACATCTAATTCATATGTTGTATTCCACTGTGCTGTTGCCTTTCCATCAACACAAACTTTGAAACAATGCTGTTGTTTGCTTTGGGAGAACCAGACACGGTTTCGTGTTGCTGACCTTCAGTTTTGTCTCTGTGTGTTTCAGTACGACCCTCGATTTGGTGATGCTTTCTGGAACAGCAGCAAGTACAACATGGTCAGCTACCTTCTGCGCACAATGACCAGCTGGGCCATAGTGGTCAACGTGTGGTATCTTCCTCCCATGAGCATACAGGTATGTTTAACCTGAGGTCCAGTCCAGCCTGCAGAAGCATTTCTCCATCCAGTCACCCCAAGGCAGCTGTGGCTACAGTGTAGTTCATCACCATCAACGTGTGTGAATGACTGCTTCTGTTGTGAAGCACTTGGGGGGGTTGTAGAACCCCAGAAGGTGCCATACAAGTACAGACCATTTACCATTTTAAAGGCTTTGCGTCATCATCTCAACACAAACAGCTTCTACAGGAGGGTTAAAAGGGTGGACTCTTCTTTTTTAGGTTTTATTTTGTGCTTATTTTTATACTAAATCAATCTTTGCTTTTTCTGCAAAGTAAACATGATGAATCTTGAGTTAGGTTAGCGCTGCTCCTCCCCAGCAGTCGGAGCTGAACCAAACAACATTTTGGGTCAGCAACATTCCCGCCTTTATCATCTGATACATCTGATTTAGCTGCAGGTTGAAAAAAGAGAAACCAGGACGTGACAGGCTCTGAGACTGACCACAGTCAGAACAGACAGCTGATGAGTCACGCAGCAACAGAACAGTTTAATGCAACAATCTAACTGAAACCACCTCAGAACTCATGATTATAAGTCTCGTGGGTTTGGGCAGGAAGGAATAATTTGTTGCTGATGAGTTCCTCTGGGTGGAATAAAGAATATTTGTGCTTATGTGTGTTATTTTGACACAATAAACAGTGTGTGTGTGTGTGTGTGTGTGTGTGTGTGTGTGTGTGTGTGTGTGTGTGTGTGTGTGTGTGTGTGTGTGTGTGTGTGTGTGTGTGTGTGTGTGTGTGTGTGTGTGTGTGTGTGTGTGTGTGTGTGTGTGTGTGTGTGTGTGTGTGTTATGAGCAGGATGGTGAAGATGCAGCACATTTTGCTAGCAGGGTCAAAGCTGCCATTGCCCATCGGGGGGGCCTGCTGGACCTTGAATGGTGAGAACAAATCTACCTCTGAACACATCTTAAAAAAAAGTATTTAGAATAATTAACTCAGATTATGATAAACTATCAAATGTTTGGTAAAACATTCCTCTTAAACATTTGGATCAGTAAGAATAACATAAATTTTATTACATTAATATGAAAATATACGTAGACATGTAGGGTAATAAATAATAGTTAATGTAATAAAGGTAAAACTTTTACTCAACAATCTCTTCTGTTCATGTTTAAGTACGATGACAACTTTATTGCAAGTGATTAAAGTGGTTAAGGGTTCTGTCAGCATGAGCCCCGTGAGATGTCTAAGCTGCAGCTGTTACACACCTGCTTAGACTCTATTAAAACCTGGATGGCTGGGAGCTTTCTTCAGCTGAATGAAGATAAGACTGAGATCCTCATCTGTGCCCCAGACAAGCTGGTTCCCAAAGTCAGAGACTCTCTTGGTCAGCTTGCTTCCCACACCAAACCCTCTGTCAGGCATCTTGGCGTGACCTTTGACCCAGCTCTCACCCTGGATTCTCATGTCAGTTCTCTTGTTCGCTCTTCCTTCTTCCATCTCAGGAACATTGCTAAGCTGAGTCCCATTCTGTCTCGCTCTGAACTTAAGATTGACATCTACACCTTCATCTCCTCATGCTTAGACTACTGTAACTCTCTTTTCACGTGTCTGAGCAGAACCTCCCTGAACCGTCTACAGGTGCTTCAGAATGCCTGTGCTCGGCTTCTGACCAAGTCCTCCAAACACACCCACATCACCCCACTTCTCCTCCAGCTTCACTGGCTGCCAGTCAACTTCAGGGTTCATTTCAAGATCCTGGTTCTGGTCTATAGGGCCTTACATGGACAAGCACCATCATACATTGATGATCTTCTTAGTCCCTACACCCCCAGCAGGTCCCTGAGGTCCAGTGACCAAAGCCTACTGGTTGTGCAGCGCACCAGGCTAAATGGTAGATGGTCTGTTTTGTATAGTGCCTTTTTAGGGTTCTACAACCCCTTAAGGTGCCTTACAACACAATCAATCATTCACCCATTCACATGCTGGTGGGGATGAGCTACGATGTAGCCACAGCTGCCAAGAGTTGAGGCCTGCTAAACACTGGCACCACCAGTCCCTCCGACCACCAGCAGGCAAGGCGGGTTAAGTATCTTGCACAAGGAACAGCAGCATTCTCTGGTCAGAGCTGGGATCGAACCTGCAACCTTCCAGTTACTGGACAACCCGCTCTACCCCCAGACTTACTGCTGTCACCAGGCTAAAGACCAAAGGTGACCGATCATTTGCTGCTGTGGCCCCCAGAATCTGGAACTCTCTCCCCCTGAGAGCTGAAGACTCACCTGTTCAGACTCGCTTTGGTGTGACCTTCAATAAATAACAACAAAATCAACACATGTTGACTACACACAAGGACTACATGTAGATAAATCGTTTTTTTTTTTTGTTCTGGACAAGAACATTACCAAAAAGTTTAGTGGAGGAACTGAACAGGGTGAGCAAATGGACAGATACAGGAAGCAGCAAGAGAAGTGAAACAAAACATTACTTGTGTGGGGAAATCTTTACAAATGAAACAGGAAATAATCCAATGCAAAAATAAATAAATAAATAAAAACAAGTCAGAAACAGGCAAACATGTGGGGGAGGGGGACTCGGTGCTGCACACAGACAGCTGGTGTGATCAGCTCTGGAAACTGTTCATCACAATTTGCAGATCACGTTTATTTTTTTCACGGAGATCCGCCGCAGATTCCTCTTCTGGTCGGCATTCTAGGAATTGAAACTAGGAGTTCAAATAAAAGACTTTGAACGATTCTGGGAAAAACTAAAAGTTGGTCCCAGTTCCAATCGATACCCAACCCTAGTCGGAAATGACAATTTTTGCTCTTTTATTCTTCTTGCAGGGACGGAGGACTGAAGAGAGGAAAAGTGAAGGATTCATTTAAAGAGGTGCAGCAGAAGATGTACAGCAGCATCATTGTGCAACAGAACAGCTTCAGCCTTCCAGAGACGAGCTAAACTACAGGAAACTGATGAGCCTGGACCACCTGAGCAGGCTCTCCGTTCAGCCTCGGGTTCTGGTCCATAGCTGGTGATCTGGAGCTGCAGGAATGTATTGCTGCCAGCAGGAGGCAGTATGAGACAAGACAACTATGTCATGCTTCTTCCTCGTCATCGATATGCTCTCCTTCAGGCCCAATGTGTCCAGAGGTCGTAGAGCGTTACATGACACGTCATGTCTCTATTAAGGTCAAGTTCACCACAGTAACCATGTTCAGTGTATGTGAGGAGGTCGGATTTCTGATTCTTGAATTAAATCACAACCTCTCACAAATTATACAGAAAGAAAATGTGAAACATTCAGCATGTTTGTTCACTCAGTATCCACTTTCACATCTGCACGATATTTTAATTGTTTTAGTTTTTATTAAAATGTTTTTATTTGTGGTTTTCTTGATTTATATGATGTAAATCCTGCACTGATTTAATTCAGCGCATACTCCAGTTATGTACTGAAGACAGACGCTTCAACCATACAGCTTACAAGTTCAGTGTCAGGTTTCAACACCGAGGCCGACGGGAAAAGCAGGAATCTGGAGAAGCGACAACACTAAAGAAACTAACTGAAACTTTAAACTTCTACTTGGTGCAACGTGCAAAAGGCCAGCCCAAAAGAATTACCGTTCATCTGAAAGAAGAAATAATTTCCAACAGTTTAAGTCAGATTTAAGAAGTAATCCACAATAATAACACAACTTATATTGTCTGAATCATTTATCAGAATAACTGCAGGCGGAGATTTAAAAGTTAATTTCTGCCACAAAGAATCAAAATGTGAGGACGACAAAGAGAAGGAGGTTCACATCAGAGCATGCCTCGATGGCATTTGTTTAACTTGTTGTTTCAGATGTTTAGACGTCTTCTTAGCGAGCAACGAAAATGACTGAGCTCCTAAACATTGTTGTCCTTTTCTGGCGGTATTTATTGAGATGGTACAGGAAGCTTTAAGTGGATCTTTTGTGTCTGCAGATTTTAAAAGCAAAAACAAACAAAAACAATTCATCAGAAAAAGAACTGAGAAAAAAAAACAATAAAGGATCAAAGACAGATTTTATTTGGCGCTTTTGATGTTTTCTAACGAGTTTGTTGGACCCCTGTTCAGGGCTGGTGCTGTGATGTGGGAAGGTGAGTGGAACTCCTGCAGATAAGAACGAGTAAATGTTCATTTAGCTTTGAGAGATGTGTAGGATGGGCCTAAAGGGGGCCTTTTTCCTACACAGGGAAGGAAGCTGGTGACGGACAATCAGATCAGGGTAGCAACGGCAGTGGTGCTCTTTGGGTAATCCTTAAGATCATGAATGTTCATGTTAAACATTATGGAATGTGAAAAGGATAATTTCACATTGAATTTTCCTTTTAAAGGCTGACAAAGTGGGTTTAGTTACTGGGTTGGCTCTGCACCTGTCCATGAGCCTAAATCTGTCTGAGAACACAGAAACAGCTCGCTGATTTAGAACGTTTTAGGAAATTTAACTTCAAATGGAGACAAGTCTGGCTTTTCTATCACAAAGAAGCTTCTGTAACTCAGCAGACGTCACAACCCTGAAATAAAACAGTTAATTTCAAATGGTTTTAAACTATCTGACATTATAACAACAGGAAGGGAAAATGAATATAGAGGTAGCCTGATTTAGCCCATGGATCTGTTCAAGACAACATTAAGATACTTGTTTTTATTCAAATTATTATTGTAATTTCTAAGAGAACCGGTTGTTGAGTGAACCCCGTGGAGTGTTGTGAAGCCCGAGTGATGCAGCGAGTGTGTCCTCTAGAACAAGAGTGATATATGCTGGTGTCCTTGTGAATAGGATGCTGTGGATGAGACAGAGGAGAGCTGCAGATCAGAGCCGGATGGCGACATGTTTACTGTGACGGCACTTTAATAAAGAAAGCAGACAGTGTGAAATAGCATGGAGTTATTCTTCCACACACAGCCAGGCTTACATACCACAGCCGCTCCTCCTCCGCCGCCTCTTCATCTTCCCGCCTGTAATAACAATCCCACAACTTAAATTGCTTGAACAGAAATGTTTGTTCTCCCCTAACAAGATTGTGAATTATTAATCGGATCTGCAGCCAATTCTCTAACCTGATTGTTGAGGTGGGACTCTTGGCGAGCGATGCTCCACCGCACCATTTACTGTGATGTATGTGTCTGCACATCTTTATATCCAATTTAATGTGATTCAGATAGATTTCAGTGGGACATCATAAAAGGCATTGGAGTGACCCCGCCGGCGGACTCCATACAGCCACCCTGTATGTACTGATATGTTGATTCGATTTGCTCAGTTTTACTCTTAGCCTCCAGTGATCTATACAAATGCAATGCAGGTACACTAAGTAAATATGAATACATTTCCAAATTGAATCCAAGTGAGTATAGTTTGCGGAGGACATCATTTGAAATGCCGCTGTGCTGGGAACTGAGCGGTCACAGGGTAAATGACTGAGGTTCCTTCTGAGACTTGCCATTAGTTGGAGTGTAATGCCTTTAAATACATTGTTCAGCCGTCTATTCTGCTGCTGCTGTAATCTATGTGATGCTGAAGAGGTTCAGTGTAGCTCCCAGAGAGGGATCGATACACACAGACGAGTCGTGCCCATGCACCGAGCTGCTGCTTCTGTCCAAACACCGGGCTTACACGACAGTGCTGCAGGGGAAATAAAGGAATTCCGAGGAATACATTTAACTCTGATCCACCACCATTTGATGAGAAGGATTTTCTTTAAGGATGTTCTAAAATTCAGCAACTTTTCATTTATACTGAAGCTCCAAAGCTACTTTGGACAAAGGAATGCTTTTGCTTTCATTGGTTGTAGTTTGTAATTTGTGCCGCTAGATGTCATCCCATTCTTCACACTGGAGCTTTAAATAATTTCTACCGAGGATTTGAGGGTAAACCTCTATTAAATAAAGCTTTAGGTCTCCGTGAGTTGCTGACTTTTTTAAAAGGTCTCCTGGTTCTGTCTTAAAACCGGTATGTGAATCAGTGTCGTCTGCCCTTTTTCATTAATTACCGCTCAACCTCCAGAGATCAAGGTGAAAAACACCAGATCACACTGATAATAACTGATTTATAATAAGTATTTCTCACCATGGGAAAACTACGGTAAAAAATGACATAAGATTTGAAAAGTGTGTAAACGTAGAATTTTTTTTACATTACTAAAATATAATTTAAAATTGGATATGATCTTACCTATTATTTTATCACTAGTTGTCATGGAAGTGGAACCAAAGAAATGTAAGTTTATTGATCTGAATCAGGAAACAGGTGAATATGAGGACTGATGGTTGTTAGTAACCATCCCCGGTTTCATTTAACCTCTGTTGTGGAATTCTTCTTCCATTTTCTCTTAAATGAGCCGATTTTTTGTGATTTTTCAGCTTTTAATAAAAACTAGTTAATTTTTTTCCCCTAATGACATTTCAATGCAATTAATATTAAAAATGAGATATTTTCATTAGAAAACACGGTCTACACAATATTGTCTAGTACAAAAAATTGAGCAAAAGAATACACACAATTATTTTTAAATACGTCAAATTAAAACAAAAGTCACAACACACACATGGCGGTAAAAATACAAAGCACAATAAAAATAACAAAAATCTAAATGCAGCACGATAACGAGACTCCAATAAACCAGGTGGAAAAGTCATTAAGACAAAAAAAAATCAACAGAAAAATAAGTAAAAGTTAGAAACACAGCAGATCAAACCCAGAGACACAAAACAATCACTGAGAGATCTTGTGGTAGTTTTAGCAGCAGCAGTGATGGAGGCTTCTGCTCATCCTTTGGAGCAACATCAGCAACTGCAGCACAAGGAGAAGCTGACCACCGATCAGCAAGTGGCAGCAGCTCTGACCAGAAGAGGGAAACATGACACCAAACTGGCTCACAGCTGCACGTATTTACATCTCTGATCAGACCATCTGTAATTGGTCAGAATAGGTTATTTCCTGTTTTTAGTTCTGCTACAATTATGTCTAAGAGTTGCACATATGAAGGGCAGATTGATGTGTGGTTGAATTGGAGTTTACCTGGTTAAAGGAAAGGTTATGCAGTGATTGGACAGCAGAGGAGGGCCACTGACCTCATCCTCCAATTGGATTCAGTCGTCCTGTTTGTTATCAGAGGCATCGTGTACAAACTGCTGCTTGGCTTTTACTGAATGAGAAGGTGGAGGCGCATGAAAAATGTCCTCCGCTGAGGTACATGAAGGTGTGAAATTGCAGACTCCTCTTTGCCCTCAGCCCTGTGCCTCAGAAGCTATTTCTTCTTTTATTGACAGCGAGGCTGAATTTCAGCCTGATGGCTGCCGCCGCCGCCCCCCTAACCCTCCCTCCTGGAGCCTTGATTGCTTTTGTTTCCAGGTCACCTCCTATCTATTGCTGCAACTTTTCCAATTTCTCAGGGCTCGTTGTATGAAGACAGAAGGCGCTGGCGTCATGAGTTCTCTGGGAAATGTACATAAACCTCGGCAGAGAGACGACACAAAGGGAACACACAGAAGCCTCTTCACTTTCATGCTCAGTGGGCAACACACACGCTGTCGCCGCCGTCGCCGACACAACTTCATCAAAGCAACAATCAAATAAAAGTCCTGCTTCATTAATATGGAATTATCTCAGTATTAAGATTAATTGCATTAAACTGATGAGAGTGTGTTCAGTGTGGATGGAAGCAGCATGAATGATGGATGATGAGAGGCGTGATGAATGAAGAAAGCAGCAGAACTAAATTGAAAATGTACTCATCCGTTCTCCCCTCACAACTAATGATAAATTGAGCGTGTCACGTTGAACAATACATGTTGAGCTTAAACACGGCCTCCCCCTCTACTCCTCCTGTCCTCCATCCTCCTTCTCACCTCTTCATCCCTGAAGGCGAGCACGGCCGTCAGGTTGCTGCTGCTGATGTCCAACTGCGGTGATTGCTGTGTGACTGACACACACACACACACACACACACACACACACACACACACACACACACACACACACACACACACACACACACACACACACACACACACACACACACACACACTGCTCTCCTGTAGTAATTTTTGTTTGATTCTCTGAAAAAGTCTTCTGCATCTTTTTGTAGTTCTTTTCCCTCTTTATGGTTGTGTGTGTGTGTGTGTGTGTGTGTAATATCTATCTGTGCATTTGTTTTCCTGTTTTATCTCAGTAAATGTAATGCATTATTGCTGCTGCTGCTCTCAGAATTGTTGGTGTCTTTTTCATGTTTTCTGTATATTTTTGTAAAGTTGACCGGTCTGTTTGTCGTTTGAGGACAATTTGTTTCTCAGGGTGTTTTCCACATCTGGGGGCCTTCTATCTCTGCTATAAAATGTTTTTTCTCTAGCTGAAGTCACCTTGTCTTGTGGTTATTTTGCAATTTTTGTCATTTTTGCTCAACTCTTATTTTCAAATTGTTTATTTTGTGTTTATTTTTAAACAGGACTGTGGATCTACACCCTGCAGTCTGTCTGAAGAACATATGGTCCAAATGCATCATTTATTTTCTTTTGTGACGAATAACATCAAGTCATTTTGTAATTACTTCCCAGAGTCAGCTATAACAGTTTATTGGCAGAACATTTGTCGCACTTTTCTGTGTTTACCAACCAAAACAAGAGACAGGCAGCCAAAGTTAACAGACAATCAAACTTCTATTAAGACAGCGTCTGGATCGGATCCAGCTGACAGCCTCACTGTAAATGATATCACCATCTGTGAGACCAGAACAGTTGGGTAACGAAAAGGAGGATTATCAATCTTCACTCGGCCTGTTTATGTTACAGCACTGATGAATCAGAATGAATCTGAGATGATCCAGGTTGACGTTCCTCCCTGTGAAGACAAGCACATGCAACACGGTCGTGTGCGTCAGTGTTTTACCTGTTTCAGTCTAGCAAAAATGACACTAAATTACATTTATTTTCCAATTTTGCAGAGCAAAACATCTAAGGTTGTCCAGTAATAGGAAGGCTGCAGGTTTGAGCCCAGCTTCCACCAGAAAATGCTGCTGTTGT